AGAACAAACTTCGCTTTATCCTCTTTCTTTTGTGTCTCCCAAGGACTAGGCCACTCCAACCTGCAGATGTCTCACTTGAGTCCAGGAAGTGCTGCACTAACTCCATCAGATGTAGAAGGTTTATCACCTACGGCCCTGGGTTATAGGAATGCCACCCATCGACGCCTCTCCATGGAGGTAAATATACTGTTCTGTGCCACTCTTAAGGCCATGTTCACACATTTGTGAATGCACTAAAGTGCATGTCAGCAGGGCAATGTTACATGAATAACTAGTTAACATCTGTGCACTATGCAGGAATGTGTTTAGGATAGCTGAGGTCTGCTATTTATGTGCACTTTCATGTGTTGTATGTGCCCATAGATGTCACCGGTAATGCTTAAAGGATAAGTTCAACTTTCGTAACATGTTATATGGTACACCCATATTCAGGGTGTAACATGTAATATGTTACTTTTGGACCGGCCCCCGCAACCCCACTAGCTGTCACAATTAAAAAAAATTGTTCTGCGAATGATAAACTACACGTACCGACAACCTTTGCGAATGTTGGCTTGTAGTTCTCATATCATGATGTTGCTGAGCGCTGTCAGTGTAAAACTGCCTGCCCGTACAATGTAGGAGTCCTGCATGGCACCAGTGATCTGATCGCTGGTGCAATCCTTTCCAGGCTCCTAAAGCAAAAATAGTAAATGCACATTTTTTTTACCTTCAAAAATGGGCATTTTTAATTTTTTGGTAAAAGGAGAACTTATCCTTTAAAAATGAATGTATGATGCATGTTGCATTTATTTTCATGGTTTTTTAACCCCAGGCAAAAATATTTTTTTTATCTCTCTCTCAGGGGCGGACTGACAACTCATGGGGCCCCTGGGCAATAGGGGATCATGGGGCCCCTGTGTCCTTGCCCAAACTCAAAAAAGCCTATGAAAAAGGTACCAGGGGCATCTCATGGGGCCCCCTACTGACCCCGGTCCCTCGGGCAGTGCCCGGGTTTCCAAATGGTCAGTCCGCCCTGCTCTCTCTCTCTCTGCACTCTCCAGTTTTAGTAAATCTACCTCATTGTGGTTGTGTGCCTTAAAATTTAAATATAATTAAATGCAATGATTTTTCTTTAGTTTTGGGGATGTGGAAAGGGACACAGATGGCATAAAAAATACCTGGCACACACACAGACAAAAAAACACACACACTTTCCAAAGTGAAAAATAAATTGATGCTTTTAGTTCTTCTTTAGTGTTTTTTTCTTTTTTTTTTTTTTTTTTTTGTTTACTGAAATTTAGCTCTTGATAAATTGTTGTGCAAATGTTGTGTGTCATAAATAGTGTGCCCTTTTATTCTTTTATTAATCAAATACTTTTTATTATATTTAATAATAAAGTGTACATGTCACTTAGAGATCCATACAACAGTCCAACATTGCAATCAGATACGAAATGCAATTAACACACAACTTTGCATTGTATTACGAGAGATATGTGTACACGCCAACTTACATAAAAAAAGAGTGAGAAAAGACAACAACATTTCAACAGGTTCAGATTTCATATTACAACAGTCAGATAACTATAGTATACCCATCTTTATCATAGAGATGCAACTAGCCAAGCCCACCTGTCAATATACAATTTTTCTCTGGCGTAACGATATTATTTCAATGTCAGCTCACACCTGAAGTAACCTATCCATGACCATCTGTAGTGGAGCAAGACCTTGCGTGTCCATCCAACCTTGCCAGATTTTCAAAAATTTGTGATGAGAATTATGATGCTGATAAATCAATTTTTCTTGCATTTTCTTGTAAGTTTAATTGAGTTTTTTTCATCCAGAGTTGTTTTGTGGGGGGTTTGGTGACCTTTAGTGGGGTTTAATTACTAAAGGCAAATGCAGTTTCTCTAGATCTGAGGGGAAGCTCTGAAATGAGTGGAAGCTCTTTTGACTTCTATCATCCAATCATGCGCACGCAACAATGCTGTTTTTTATTTTCCTTGCATGTGTTTAGGTATTCTTTGCAAAGTGAAGCTTTACCGCATTTACTAAGCACTGGAGCAAGTGCACTTGCAGTGCATGGTATATTTGCCTTTAGTAAATCAACTCCAATGTCTTGCTAGTAATTTTCTGGTTATATAAAGGAGTCTCAATGCCGCTAGGAGTTCAACAAGTTAATACATTTCTGTGTCTAAAGCACCCATGAGGTAACCATTTTATTTTACAGGGTGTCTGCTTTCAGAAAGTATGTTTAGGGGTTTTAACTAATCTTCATGCCTAAGATGATTTTGTAAACATATGTGCAAGAAAATGCAAAAATTGGCGTTAGCGATAAAGTTAAAATAGAAGGGCAGGGGACTTGATGGGAGGAAATATTATGAGCTCAGTTTTAAAAAGATTGAGTTTGAATAAGTGTTGTAATATCCATGCTAATATGTCAGGTGATAAATTAGTGATGTGTGAAGAGCCTGAAGGAGTGAGCTGAGGAGTGGAGAGAAAAATGCGGGTGTTGTTCACATAGAAATGTTATTAGAAGCTGTGGGAGGTTATCAGCTACCCAAGGAAGGAGTGTAGATACAAAATAGAGGGAGTCCAAGGACAGAGCCATGGAGGAATCCATCGGAAAGAGGAAGGGGAGAGGAGAAGATAGAGTTGTAGGTGACAATAAAGGTTGAGATATTGTTGATGCTGAGGTAGGAGAAGTACCAGCAAAGGGCAGAGTCTTGGGGGCCAAGGCAGTAGAATTCCCCATTGCAGGCTCCAGCTAGTAAGCCAGAAAGCCTTTTTAAACTGTTTCAACATGTTAGGTTTACCAATGCAGTATATGTGAAGCCACACTGCACATCTGAAGTGTTTTGTCCCTAACTGTAAACTGAGATCCAAACTTAGAAAAAATGTATACCAATGCATAAATTAAAGCGGAAGTGAACATCTTCTGTAACAAACAGCAAGCAGACAGAAATTTTATTGCAGAAGAGACATATAATGCTTCTTCTGCAATAAAATACACCTACTCTACTGTTCGCTGTCTTCTCTAGTAATGTAAACTTAGCTGCGCATGTGCAGCTCAGCTTACAATGTTGGACCGGGCTTCATGTGCTGGAATGACGGCGTATATGCATCTGTGGAGATCTAAAACTAGTGGCTCTGCTGCTTGGCATGCAGCTTGCATATTCAGTGCCTTGAAAAAGTATTCATACCCCTTGAAATTTTCCACATTTTGTCATGTGACAACCAAAAACGTAAATGTATTTTATTGGGATTTTATGTGATAGACCAACACAAAGTGGCACATAATTGTGAAGTGGATGGAAAATGATAAATGGTTTTTAAATTTTTTTAAAAATAAATATCTGAAAAAGTGTGGCATGCATTTGTATTCAGCCCCCTTTACTCTGATACCCCTAACTAAAATCTAATGGAACCAATTGCCTTCAGAAGTCACCTAATTAGTAAATAGTCCACACATGTGTGTAATTTAATCTCAATATAAATACAGCTGTTTTGTGAAGAACTTAGAGGTTTGTTAGAGAACATTAGTGAACAAAGTGCATCATGAAGGCAAAGGAACACACTAGACAGGTCAGGGATAAAGTTGTGGATACATTTAAAGTAGGGTTAGGTTATAAAAACAAATCCCAAGTTCTGAATATCTCATGGAGCACTGTTCAATCCATCATCCGAAAATGGAAAGAGTATATGGCACAACTACAAACCTACCAAGACATGGCCGTCCACGTTCATTTTCTGCACTTACACTTGGGCTTTTTTCCTAAGGTGTCACCAGGATATTGCCACAATAAAAAAAAACAGTATCAGGGCAACACAAATCAGCAGCAAAACAATTTTAGTCCTTTTTAAATGCAAATAGATGATGTTTTTATAGTCATTAAAAGCTAATTTTATATTTCACAAGATTCCTATGTGATACATTCATTCTGAAATGATATGTGTATTCAGTTTGAAGGGTCTATTAAATTCGCCAAAAGTTTTTCAGAAAGCAAAACATTTGAAAAAAATTTGTTGTGCAGTGTTACCACCTACAGAGTACAAAAACAGAAAAAACTAACTCAAATGAACATTTGGTGTGTCCAGCCATTTTAAATCAGCATCAGTTCTCTAAGGAACACTTGTACACAGATGATTGTATTGTTCCAAATACCTAAGAAAACCCATGTTTGGATACCATCAAACAGAAAGAAATCTCCTCTCCAAGCAGCTTTTCCCTGCTGCAACTCAAACCCCTGGTGCTAGAAGCAAGCTGAGCAACACTCACCAACTAGAAGTAAAGAGAAAAGCTGCTGCACTCCAGATGTACCACAAAAGTCTTTGTTTATTGTATAAATCATCCACAAGAGTGACAATAACAGTCCCCACCCTAGGATTACCCTCTGATGGTTTTCACCCAATCAGGGCTTAATCATTTAGATACACTTGAGGCTGCAGAGCAAGTCTACGTTAAGATTACAGCTCATGGCATATAGAGGGAACACAGGGATTAATTTACTAGTAGCAAATAGACTGTCATTTTGAAGGGAATCATATTCAGAGTTTAGGAAGAGGTGAAGCTCTGCAAATTTCCATTATGTGTAAGGAAAAATGTTTTTTTTTTTTTTCCTTGGATGTGATTGGATATTCTTTGCGAAATGAAACTGTAGCACATTTGCTTAGCTATGGGGATAATTCCCTTGCAAAGTGCATCTGCTCTTGCAAAGTGAACAGTCTGTTTACCTTTAGTAAAGCGACCCCTTAATGTTTTCCTTGTCCTGTTATGAGAACTGCCAGCCCTGGGTTCTTTTTCCAGAAAATGTACATTTATTTTGTTTTGCTGTTTGGTCCCATGCTACATAGAACTGTGCTTATTGCTTGGACAAGAAGAAAAAAAGGTTGCTAATACCATATCAATCATTGGTTTAGAGGGATTTAATTACTTTCCATCTGTTTCAGTTTTTCTTTTATTTATTATGAAGAGTGTGTAGAGACGTAATATATCATGTGTCTGTTATTTGTCCAGGATGTCAGTAAAAAGCTATCTTTACCCATGGACATTCGTTTACCTCCAGAAGTTCTTGCAAAACTGCAGATGAATAATACAGAAGATGATCCAAAACCTTTGACAAGGATATCAAGAAGAGCTTCTTTGGTTAGTACATTTGCTCATGAATTCACTGATTCTATACACTAGTGAGAATTTCAGATCAGCTTCAGAGTATCAAGTTTGGTATCTGTATTGAAGGTAATCGCAGAGGACAGGCCTTAATCTCTGACAGTTTACTAAGGTTAACGTTTGGACTAGCAAGCTATGGTACACTGTAGCTAGATATGCTCATGTTTAGAAGTACCTAAAGATATGGGATGAAAATTGTTTGGTTTGGCCATTTTCAATAGATTGGTGTGCAATCATGTCTTCGGTTAGTGCTAGATGTTGCTAACTGCTGTCAAGTTGAATTAGCAATCAAACCAAAACCTTTTGTTCCACCACTAATAGGCTGGAACTTTCACCTTCTGCACTGCGTTCTCCTTATTCTTCCTTTTGCCTTATAAAGCAGAATGGCTTTTCAGCTAAGCTGGCCAAACACTAATCGAAACTAAACAAAAATCAGCCGACCCAGCGGGTACTGGGCAAATTTCAATCAGTGTGTGGGCTCCCCCGCTCAACAGAAATCAGTTGTTTAATCAAGCTCTGTCAAAGTCAGAGAAATTCACTAATCAGTGTATTCTGACAGCAGCTGGTGGGGATTCCAGCACGTTATGGTGTGTGGGCATTCCACACAAACAAGATGGATGGAAGAATCTGTTTCAGGCTGTACAAAAAGCACGTTTGGCCATCTTAAAGCAGAGCTCCAGGCTCCCCTCAAAAAATAAAAGTCAGCAGCTACAAATACTGTAGCTGCTGACTATTAATATAAGAACACTTACCTGTCCAAGGATCCTCACCCAAGCTGATTCTTCAGTCGGCTTCGGGTGCAGGCGCTGGCGTCTTCAGTAAGGGAAACTTTTCGGATTCACAGCCGGTTTCATACTGTGCTTGTGCAAAGCGCAGTGTGCTTTTGAATGGTCCCACAATCCTCTTGGACTTGTGAAATGTCTCAGAAGGATGCGGGGGAATACGGGGGGGCCGAACTTCTGTCTCAGGTCATCGCAGCGTATCTGACCAGAAGTGGGAGCGTCAAAACCAGGTACCCGCTACCCCCAAAAAGTGGCAAATATGGTGGGGGTGGTTGTAAAGAGCTGGAACTTCCTTTTTTAGGTGAAGTTCCACTTTAAGGTGTTCTGCCACAAGGGCAGACAAATCGTACATGTACGTCAGATTGCCTTCCAAAGTCTGTGGGCAGCCTCACTGAGATGGATGCTGCCACCTGTACTTGCTGCAGAAGGTGTTTGCTTTGGCAACTGCACCTGCCCCAGGTTGTGTGCAGACAGTCCATAGAAGTGGAAGCAGATGCAGTGACTGCACAGATATAGCCACATGTCAAAATTTGACAGCTAAGCAAGAGCAACTGTATGGCCCTAAACACACACTGTTGGCATTCACTGCTGTAAATGGCTGCACGCAGCTCGGGGTAGATGCAGACTCCAAAACTAACTCCTCCCGCACACATTCAGTGCCTGTCTGAATGAGGTATTACATGATTTGGTGACGGGGAAGGAACATCAGAAATGATTGCGTGCTCAAATTTTGTACACAATGTTTAGGCATAGAGGACATTAGTAGGTGCAGTAAGTCAATCATGGTTGCTTTGTTTTACATATAGTCATTAATTAGGGCAGTCAGCAGGCAAATGTATCCAGCCTAGAAACACCCACTCCTTCAGACTGATATCTGCCTATCAAGGAATTTTGATATTGCATACCTTAACCTCCTCCACCCGCCATATAGGCGGTTCTCTCGTTCTGGGAGGACGTCAAATGACGTCCTCCCACTCTAACCGCGCGTTCACGGCTCCAGGGGCACGCAGCGTGGAGATTGGTGGTGCACCAATCAACGGAAAGAGCCAAAGACGTCGTTCCAATCACAGCTGATCGCATGTAAATAAGGAAATGCTGGTTATCGCCATATCTCTCCTCACGAGCTGTCACGCTGACAGCTCATGAGGAGAGGAGAGCCGGTAATCGGCATTCCTCAGAGGGGAAATGTACACTGATCATCAGGGCACTGATGATCAGTGTGCCCTGATGATCAGTGTAGCCCCAGCAGTGCCACCTGTCAGTGCCCATCAATGCCAGCTGTCAGTGCTCATCAATGCCACCTGCCAGTGCCCATCATTGCCACATCAATGCCACATATTAGTGCCAACAGTGCACATCAATGCCACATATCAGTGCCCATCTGAGCTGCCTTTCAGTGCCACCTATCAGTGCCAGTCAGTGCCACCTATCAGTGCCACCTATCAGTGCCACCTATCAGTGTCAGTCAGTGCGCCTATCAGTGCCAGTCAGTTCCACCTATCAGTGCACATCAGTGCCACCTATCAGTGCCACCTATCCGTGCCATATATGAGTGCTGCCTTTCAGCAACCATCAGTGATGCCTGTCAATGCCCATCAGTGCCACCTACCAGTGCCTCCTCATCAGTGCTACCTATCAGTGCCCATCAGTGCAGTCTATCAGTGCCCATCACTGCAGCCTCATTAGCGCACATCAGTGAAGGAGAAAAAATTTTTTCAAAATTTTCTGTGGTGTTTGGTTTGTTTAGCAAAAAATTCAAAGACCAGAGGTGATTAAATACCACCAAAAGAAAGCTCTATCTGTCTCCCAAAAATTAAAAAAAATTTCAGATGAGTACAGTGTTGCATGACCACGTAATTGTCATTCAAAGTGTGACAGCGCTGAAAGCTGAGAATTGGCCTGGGCAGGAAGGGTATAAGTGCCCTGTAGGCAAGTGGTTAAGAATCAGACCATTGCATGCATCAGGGCTGAGGGCTCTTGAGAGCCAACTGAAGCATAATGTGGTGATGTTTTCAGAAAGCTGTGTACAGCATCCTGCCAGCCCTTCCCACAAGCAATGATCTAAAACTTTGCATACTGAAATACAGATAGACAGTACATCTAAAAGAAGGTATGTAATGAAAAAAAGTTAAAAAAAATGAAATTAGCATGTTGATAAATTGTAAAATGAGGAATTAGGGAATGCAAAATATAAGCGGATTAAAATTTAACTTTAAATGGCATTAAAAGACCAAAACCTCAAAAAAAATGTAATATATTGCGATTTACCAGTCATTAGCTGTGGTGGTTGAGTTAGTTTTTTTTCATGCTGAGAACATTTTCAGCAAATACGAAAAATACCTGTTGATTTTGCCTGAAATCCAGCCTCCTTGTCACTTCCTATGAGCTGACCTGGAAGCATAAAAAAATCGTATTTTTCTTGTTTAAAATACTCATCCCATCAAACCCAATGGAGATAAACTGGGTGACAACTATTTCTTCCTCCGTAAATACAGTGGAATAAGTTAGCCACCCAGACACAGGAAGTGTGCTATTTGCAGAATTACTAGGTAAAAATAAGAAATAAAAGCCTGAACAAAATAGTGCAGGCACCTAATATAAGAAATAGTAAGCTACAATGGATTACATTTTTTGTTTTGGGGTTTAGATATACTTTCAGCATTATTTACAGGTAATGAAACCGTTGACCCTCCTACATATACAGGGATGGCAGGCAGTACACCTTCTACCTATATATAAAGGTATTTATTTACATTAGACACAAAACAGCTGAGAAATGGTTATGGTACAGTGTGTGCCACTGGCACTAGTGGAAATTGTTTCTTTGATTAGCTCCAGGATGGGCACATATGCTCAGCAATATCATTCTGGAGATCTTCACATCTCTTGCCTTCCTTTGTTTTAAACATTCTTTGTATGAAAAAAAAACTAGAAAATTACTAATTTGAGTCCATTTGCCGCACATTACTGCTCCTCCCTTTCCTACACCTAGTTCTAGGATTACAAGGGGCTAATATAAAGTCATATTTATGTACTTTTACCACCTCAATGTAGAAATATATTTAATAATTACTAATTTGCCCTTTTCTTGCAGTCAGATATTGGATTTGGAAAACTGGAGACGTATGTGAAGCTGGACAAACTGGGAGAGGTGAGACAGAATCTGTTGGACTAACATTTGTCTTTTGTCTGTCTTTTTCATTTCATGATTCTTTCTCAGCACAGCCCTTAATATTTCAGTGTGTTTTTTGCTAAATGTAATTGGTACTGTGGTTTAACATTAATGAGTATACACAAAATGATAGTAGGGAATGGTTAACCCCACATCAGCCCAATCCAGGCTGTCTGCATTCATAAACACACATAGCACTGCTCACCAATCCGGCCCCACCCCACCTCAAAGGATTTGCCTGACAGTAGCCAATGGCCCCACTGCTGTCAAGTCTCCTGTGAGGAGAGGAGACAAGATGCTGAAACAGGCACAGTGCTGGATTAAAATCTGGCTCTGGTAAGTGTTTAGGGAGGGCTGGGGAGCAGCTTTTGAAAGTTTTTTTTAAGGTAAAATTATGCATTAGGATAAAAAAAACCCTTTTTGCCTTTATAACCACTTTAAACCTGAACCTCAGGAACACCGCTAAAATAAACGGTTGGAGTATATATTCAACTAGATTAAATAGTGATCTATTTTTTTGTGTCTGGAGCTCTGCATTATATACTATCTATGCTATTGAACCAGCAAGCACACATGAAAAATGCACTTTAACCACAGTTGAAAATTAAGCTGTGAAAATGCATTCAAAGTAGCACAACACACCTGTTCCAGACTTTATTTTTTATCCACACATAGGTGTAATGTTTCCAGCCACCTTATTGTTTTTTGTTGATAACTTGATAATTCCGGAATCCCTTTTAGTTACCTATTTAAAATTTTTGACACACAAAATGCCTGGTGCATTACATTACCAATACTAAGAATTTTCTGACAGCCACTGATTTGACTAAATCTTGCCTGTACGTTTGAGTCTGATTAGTCATATATCATGCAATGAAACAAATTTTCATTACAACAAACATCTACAAACATTTGTGAAAGAATGGGTCGCTCTCAGGAGCTCAGTGATTTCAAACATGCTACCGTAATAGGTTGCCACCTGTGCAAAATGTCCATCTGTGAAATTTCCTTGCTACTAAATATTCCACTGTCAACTGTTAGTGGCATTATAACACAGTGGAAGCAACTGGGAACAATAGCAACTCAGCCACAAAGTGGTAGGCTATGTAAAATGACAGAGTGGGGTAAGCACATGCTGAAGTCGCCAACTGTCTACAGATTCAATAGCTAAAGACCTCCAAACTTTGTGTGACCTTCTGTCTAGCACAACAACAGTGTGTAGAGAGCTTCATGGAATGGGTTTCCATGGCCGAGCAGCTGCATCCAAGCCTTACATCACCAAGTGCAATGCAAAGCTTCGGATGCAGTAATGTAAAGCACGCTGCCACTGGACTCTAGAGCAGTGGAGATATGTTCTCTGGAGTGACCAATCATGCTTCTCTGTCCGGCAATCCGATGGTCGTGGCTGAGTTTGGCGGTTGCCAGGAGAACTGTATTTGCCTGACTGCATTGAGCCAGATGTAAAGTTTGGTGGAGGGGGCATTATGATGTCGGGTTTTTTTTAATGGGTTGGGCTTGGCCCCTTAGTTCCATTGAATGGAATGCCTAAGGCATTAGCATACCAAGACATTTTGGACAATTTCATGCTCTCAACTTTGTGGGAAGTTTGGAGATGGCCTATTCCTGTTCCAACATAACTCCGCACCTGTGCACAAAGCAAGGTCCATAAAGACATGGATGAATGAGTTTGGGGTGGAGGAACTTGACTGGCCTGCACAGAGTCCTGAACTCAATCTGATAGAACACCTTTGGGATGAATTAGAGCAGAGACTGTGAGCCAGGTCTTCTCGTCCAACATCATTGCCTGACTTCACAAATGCTCTTCTGGAAGAATGGTCAAACATTCCCATAGACACACTCCTAAACCTTGTGGACAGCCTTCACAGAAGAGTTGAAGCTCTTATAGTTGCAAAGGGTGGGCCAACTCAATATTAAATCCTATGGACTAAGACTGGGATGCCATTAAAGTTCATATGCATGTAAAGGCAGGCGTCCCAATACTTTTGGCAATATAATATAGTTATAAATAGGGAATGAGACTTTAACTAGATATTCCCTTTAGGTGAATCTTCCTGGTCAATCTGTTTTAAATTACATGACATGATTAACTACCTGTGAATGTTTGGTAAATATCACATTCACTGCTTTATAAATATCCTTCTTAGTGATCACAAAATAGGTCCTCAGCTTAGGCCACTGTGACCTTCAGGCTGCAGTGGAATGTTTTCTGTTTAATACTGTAATTATCTGTAACAGCATCTGTAGATTACAGTATTAAAAATACAGAAACAGAATAAACCTTTGTTTAAAAAAATGTTTTTGCACATGTGTTGTTTGGATGTGATCATACTGAGCCCTTCTTATAAACAAAAGACATACTGAAATGTGTATGCGATTTTTGTGGACATCATTTTTGGGAGGAAGTATTCCAGCCATCTTCCACTATTTCTAAAAGAACAGCTAGCTGGTTTACTGGAAAAATGGTGAACAAAATGAGTCAAATGTGTGAACAAATGTCTTCAGGAAAAAGGAACAAAAAGACATACATCTGTAGAATAGAAACAAATATACCACACTGAAACTGTATTACAGGTAACTATATTTCCCATTGTCCTAATTCGGTATTAACCATGCAAACGTTTTGTTCACAAAGTTCATGTATGGCGCTTTAAAATGTTATGTATTTCAATAAAATATTGGAAAGGTGGATCCAAATGCTTTGAAAAGGCTACCAAAGTGGCACCCACATTTAAAGTGGTTACAAATCCTAACCATTTTATACTTTAATGCAGTTCTTGCATTAAGGTAAAAAATTATGTTTAGGCATCAGTCCCCCCAGTCCCCCCCCCCCTCCTTTTACTTACCTGAGTCCTCATGCAACCCAGCACTGTGCACTTCTTTTTTAGTTCTGGGTCTCACAGGCTTTGCTGGGGCACCGGGAGCCACTGACTCCCGCTTCTTTCAATCAAAGCCAGTGACAAGGGAGCTGGAGGCGGGGCTGAGTCCCGCTATCTGTGTCAATGGGCAGCAGGGCTCAAGAGCAAGCATACACAAGTGCCCCCATAGGAAGCGGCTTCCTATGGGGGCACTTGACAGAGAGGAGGAGCCAGGAGCTCCAGCAGGAGACCCGAGAAGAGATTCAGGGCTGTTCTGTGCAATTCCATTGCACAGAGTAGGTAAATATAAACTTTTTTTTTTTTTTATTTTTTATTTTATTATTATTATTATTATTATTATTATTATTATTTCTCATTTACAACCACTTTCATTATATAGATCTTATGACATAATTTTTTGTACTTTTTTTTTTTTTATTTTTGCATCCCACAGTCTGAGAACATTTTTTTTAACTAATCTTAACCTTATATTTTAATTTGAAAGAAAAGCTATAGTGAACATAATTTTTATCAGTCAGGAATACCAGCTGAGATGTTTGGCAACAGACCCCTGTACTTCATTCTTTAGCATCTGTTGGATAGTTTGAAAAATTAACATTTTTGTCAGTCATCAGTCAATCTGAACTTTGAAGTCATGATATACTGTATATTTGGTCTTTATCCACTTGAGAATCAGCCTTTAATACCCCATCATTACCACACAATTTTTCAGTTTCAGCGCTGTTATTGACCAACAATTATTTTATCATGAAACACTGTACCAAATTAATGTTATACCATTTTTAACCTCCCTAGCGGTCTGATTATGTCCATATTTCTGTGCTCAAATATTTTTGCATGGAAATATGTATTTTTTTTATTGTAAGTCTGTCATTTTTAGGAATAACTCACTGAAATCTGTCCGAACAAGAGTTTAGTAAACATCCCGGGTATGTTAAAATTTGAAACACGAAATCATAAATTATAATTTAATAAATAATCATAAAAAATTATAATTTAATAATAAATTCAATTCAATAATATAATCAAACCAAAAACACTAAAATTTTAAACATAGTTCGCATATCACTGAGCAAAGTCGCAAAATCGTTTTCAGTGTCTGATGACGAATTTCCCCACGAATCATTATCACTCAATTCTGCAAGTAGTTCTAATTCACTATCGCTGTTCTCTAGCTGGTCTAAAACCACTTTTGACCTAAAGGGATGCTTTTTGGATGCCATGGATGTTTCTCAGTTTCCAGGCAGAAAGAACAGTAAAAATGTAGGCAGGGCACAGGACAAAGCACTAGGGACAAAATGTATGTGAAATGGTTTGATACGGTAATGTTTTACTATTTAATTTTTTGGGGATTTTTGTGAATGTCACTTTTTGTCATTTTCAAATTTCCCGCCGTTCCGTCCCGATGTCGCAGGGGACAGAACACAGAAGACAGATTCCGGCACCGCCGGGGGACACTGCAGGAGGGACATCGCAGGAGCGCAGGACAAGGTAAGAGAAGATCAGATCCCAGAGCAGCGCCGCATGGTTAGCCCGAGTGTAGCTCGGGGTTACCGCTTGTGGTACTGAAACTTTACCCCGAGCTACACTCGGGAATACCACCAGGGAGGCTACACAAATAGAGCTTTTGGTGGTTTTTAAAAAGCACTGCTTTTGTATTTTTATCAGAAAAAGGAAAAGAAACCAACAATTCTGAAAAAAAAATGTCTTTACTTTGTGTTAAAATGAAAGTGCTAGGAGAGTACACAACCCCCCAAAAGTGGGAGAATGAAGATGAAGGGGTTAATATGCAGTGAGGTGAAGAGTTAGTATACAGATCATATACAGTGACAGGCTTTAAAAAAAAAAGGATTAGAAGAGCAATCTCAGTCAGTGAAAATGAATGAATGAATCGGGAGCTTTGGTTGTAGATCTATTCATTGGCCATAAGATACTATGAGCATATCAGTTAAATATTGCATGCCATCTATCATTTATGCTATGGTTATCACCTTTAACCTTTATCAATTATGTGCTTGACCTTCAATTCTTATATTATAAGAGGATTCATCGGAAAACTTTAAAAAGAGAATGCCTGAAATGTACTATGATGCAGTAACTGTTCTTCCTTACATAGATTTTTATATTACTTTAACTGTGTTTTTGCACTCCTATAGAGAACTAGGGCTAACATTTATAATTCATTACAGAGTGAATGACCTGTGAGTCCATTTATAATGTACAGTGGTATCCACTCTTTGTAGTACATTGTAGTGATTATTCCACATTTCACCCGCACTTTACATTTAATTCATAACATGCAGAACGTAGTCTTTTGTCCTACATAACATGGTGTCGGAGGAGAGGAAGGTCAAGACAGGTTTCTTCCTTTCAGCATATTTTTTTTTTACCATTCATTAAAATGAATTGGACTTTGCTTGATTTAGAGCCCTGGAGCAATTGAAGTGGAAAGCACATTTGTAAAGCACACAGCTGCGCTTTATAAATGTGCTATATGTTTTGCTTCTATTTTTGGAAATCTGTGGTGGACCCCGTAAAAATAAAGATGTTGTGGTGGAGTATTTTTTCTACAGTAGAGTTAAGCGGCAATGCAAAGTTATTTAAATTACTTTGGTTTTATTTGACACATGACAACATGTATGGTCTTGTCTTAAAGTGTTCCTAAACCCACAACAGTAAAATCAACAAGCATGCTTGTTATACTCATTTTGGAACCTAAGAGGTTACCCTCTGCATTGTGTTTGATCCTGACTTCTCTGCTCCTCCCCTTCTTCTACTGTCCCCAATCCATCTGCTGATAGTACAGAGTCACCCTGCACATGCTCGGTTTAGTGTGTATCACTAGAGAGTTTTTCTCTCCTTGGGAGGGTGCATGTAATCAGCACAGGGCCAATCAGCACTGTCCAGACAGAGGGTCAGTGGTTATGCAGCCTAATAGGCTGGGGCGGACTGACAACTCATGGGGCCCCCGGGCAATAGGGGATCATGGGGCCCCTGTGTCCTTGCCCACACTCAAACCACACCCAAAAAAGCCTATGAAAGGTACCAGGGGCATCTCATGGGGCCCCCTACTGACCCCGGGGCCCTCGGGCAGTGCCCAAGTTCCCAAATGGTCAGTCTGCACCTGCTCATAGGACAATCAGAGGAGAATGAAAATTCCTCCTCCAAGCTTTAACCAGTGCTCTGCTGGACACTGATAGAAGTCACAAGACTGCTGATGAGAAAAGATATTCAGCAGTTTATAATGACCAAGATAATTACATTTCCATGTTCTGTGTGCTGTGGGAAACCAGATATAGTGACTGCATGTTCCAGGGTTTAGTAACACTTTAAAATCTGTTTTGCAGGGTACGTACGCCACTGTGTTTAAAGGGCGCAGCAAGCTGACAGAGAACTTGGTAGCTCTTAAAGAAATCAGACTAGAGCATGAGGAAGGAGCACCATGCACAGCTATCAGAGAAGGTAAGAGAGAGGAGGCAGGTAAATTATTGTCACAGAAAAGTTTTATTGACACTAGAGTTGAAGTGTTTTGCCTGAACAATTAACATATTTTTGGGCTTTTACTTATGAGTGTTATTAATATGCTGCCTTGAGTTAAACTCATCTTTCCTACAATGGCCCCTGTTTCATGCTGGCGCTGGCATCTCTTCCTGAGTGTCTTTGTTGGCTGGTGTAAGATAACGCCACTCCTGCGCATGCAGGGACCATGGTGGTAATCTAAGCTGAGCTGCACTGTTCAGCAAGCAAGCAGGTAGGTTGGTGTATTTTATTGCAGAAGAGACACTGCATGATCGCTGCTTGTGATAGTCAAACTTTTTTTTCCACTTTAACTTGTGGTCCTAGAGTTCAGAAGAAAATGTGCAATTTGGTGTGATACAACAGTGCCTTGAAAATGTATTCATACATCTTGAAATTTTCCACATTTTTGTCATGTTGCACCCAAAAACATATTCTTATGGGATTTTATGTGATAGACCAACACAAAGTGGCACATAATTATGAAGTGAAAGGAAAATGATAAATGGTTTTCAAAATTTTTTACAAATAAATATGTGAAAAGTGTGGCGTGCATTTGTATTCAGCCCCCTGAGTCAATACTTTGTAGAACCACCTTTCACTGCAATTACAGCTGCAAGTCTTTTTGGGGATGTCTTTAGAAGCTTTGCACATCTAGAGAGTGAAATTCTTTTTTTATAAATTCTTTATTTTCAAACTCCAGTAGAGCCAAGCAAGAGGTAACTTCTGCAGCTTCCCCTCCAGAGCGAGACTGAAATTTTTTGCCCATTCTTCTTTGCAAACTAACTTAAGCTCTGTCAGATTGAATGGAGAACGTCTGTGAACAGAAATTTTCAAGATTTAGGTCTGGACTTTGACTGCGCCATTCTAACACATGAATATGCTTTGATCTAAACCATTCCATTATAGCAGGGCTTAAAATTTAAAGTCCCAAGCTACTAGCCAGGCCTTAAGAGTTACTCGCCACCAACAAACACACAAAAACAGAGACACTTGTACACACACACAGACATGTACATACACACACAGAAACATGTACACACACGCACAGAGACACATGTACACACACACATACAGACACATTTATACACAACACAGGCACGTACAGACACGCATACACACAGATACATGTACATACACAGAAATACACACGCACAGACACATGTACATACACAGACACATGTACATACATACATAGACACATGTACACACAGACACATGTACGTACATACACACAAACACACCTGTACACACACATACATGTACATGCACGCAGACACATTGTACATATACACACATGTACATACACACAGACACGTACATGCATACACAGTCACACACACAAACACCCCCCCCCCTATAAAAAGTTGCAGTACTTTGTTGTTCACTCACAGAGCCGGGTACTGCACTCTAGGGGGAGGCAGAGAGCACAGCACACACTCCTTCCTTTGCTTTCACTGTGCTCAGCTATTGAGCAGTCTGACGGCTCCCAGTGCCAAAGACAGATCCGGCCTGAGCTCCGAGCCTGCTCAGCAAGATGGCCTTGGGGGACACACTCACCCCCACCATAAATTCCACTTGCCATTGGCGAGCAGGCGAGTGGAAATTTTAAGGCCTGCATTATAGCTCTGGCTGTATATTTAGTGCCATTGTCCTGCTGGAAGGTGAACCTTCACCCCAGTCTCAAGCCTTTTGCAGACTTTTAACAGGTTTTCTTTTAAGATTGCCCTGTATTTGGCTCCATCCATCTTCCCATCAACTCTGATCAGCTTCTCTGTCCCTGCTGAAGAAAAGCATTCCCACAACATGATGCTGCCTCTACCATGCTTCGCAGTGGAGATGGTGTGTTCAGGGTAATGTGCACTGTTAGTTTTCCACCACACATAGCGTTTTGCTTTTAGGCCAGAAAGTTAAATATTGGTCACATCTGACCCCAGAGCAACATCTTCCATGTGTTTGCTGTGTCCCCCACATGGCTTCTTGCAAACTGCAAAGGGCACTTCTTATGGCTTTCCATCAACAATGGCTTCTTGCCACTGATCCAAAAAGGCCAGATTTGTGGAGCGCACAACTAATAGTTGTAGTGTGGACAGATTCTCCTACCTGAGCTGTGGATCTCTGCAGCTCCTCCAGAGTTACCATGGGCCTCTTGGCTGCTTCTCTGATTAATGCTCTCTTTGTCTGGCCTGTCAGTTTAGGTGGACGGCTATGTCCTGGTAGGTTTGCAGTTGTGCTTTACTCTTTCCATTTTCAGATGATGGATTGAACAGTGCTCGGTGAGATGTTCAAAGCTTGGTTTATTTGTTTATAACCTAACCCTGCTTTAAACTTCTCCACAACTTTATCCCTGACCTGTCTGGTGTGCTCCTTGGCCTTCATGATACTCTTTGTTCACTAATGTTCTCTAAAAAACCTCTGAGGGCTTCACAAAACAGCTGTATTTATACTGAGATTAAATTACATACAGGTGGACTCTATTTACTAATTAGGTGACTTCTGAAGGCAATTGGTTCCACTAGATTTTAGTTAGGGGTATCAGAGTAAAGGGGGCTGAATACAAATGCATGCCACACTTTCCAGATATTTATTTGTAAAAAAGTTTGAAAACCATTTATCATTTTCCTTCCACTTCACAATGATGTGCCACTCTGTTTTGTTCTACCACATAAAATCCCAATAAAATACATTTATGTTTTTGGTTGCAATGTGACAAAATGTGGAAAATTTCAAGGGGTATGAATACTTTTTCAAGGCACATCTACCAGCATCACATATACAATACTGTGCAAATGTTTTAGGCAGGTGTGAAAAATTGCTGTAAATTAAGAATGCTTTCAGGAAAAGAAGTGTTAATAGTTGCAAAAAATATAGAAGGGCTTTCCTCTGACTTCATTTCTAGTAGACAGGAATTGGTGACATTGTTTTCACTTCCTGTTCTGACTGCACATATGAAGTTAGGAAGTAGAGGGAACCAGATGCGGACTGACAACTCATGGGGCCCCCGGGCAATAGGGGATCATGGGGCCCCTGTGTCCTTGCCCATACTCAAAAAAGCCTATAAAAAAGGTACCAGGGGCATTTTATGGGGCCACAAAGAATAAGAGAGGGTAGAGGTTCATAAATATGCTGTATCACCCAGTATATGGTTTCTGCCCAGTAACCAAAAGACATGCATACAAAAAAAAGGGGTTGTGAAAAAGAAATTCACAGAAAAAGTGGTTACATCATGGACAGAATGCGATACTCAGAATGATTCCCAAAAATTATGCTTTATTACACAATAATTATAGACAATCGGGTAAATACCCTGGTTCACCATCACCTCAGTATGAGATAATACACAAAGACCTAAAATCACATAAAAGCAACATCAAGACCGGTCTTAATATAAATGTGCTGCATAAGCAATGACAGAAACCTGTCTAGTGCATTTGCAGTACCAGTACCAACACATTGGTTACAACACCAGCAGGGTGAGTGGTGAACATGTACAGATTTACAGTAGACAAGCCCATATGTAAAGACGCAGAGTTATTCATAAAGGAATCACTGTTGGTATCCTTAGTGAGATAAAGATGATAAAGATGGCAGGGCCCTGCTTCACGGGGTTTCTTCACCGCAACGTGCGGACTATAAACCACCTTAATATAGATGATAGTATGAAGCCTGCTGGGTCATCCGTCTCTTGTAATATATAATTGTTGCCTTGCACCTGGATATTAAATCATATAGTCCCCATCCTGCAATAAATTGATGACAAATGGACAGTCAATCAATATATTCTTGCTGATGTATGTGTAGAGTGGCGAACAAACGCCTTGTCATCTAGCTGTGTGACAGTTCACTCACCACCTGAGCCATAGGTGATACTTTCTTGAAGTTTCCTCAGTCTAGATTAGCAGGCATGGTCCCGAAAACAGCCGCTGACATCGGGACTGTGACTGGCGGGCTCCGTTCTCCCCTTGGTGCCTGTGCAGCTTTGCACAGCTCATGGCACACAAATATGGCCGCTTCCCTGCTGGTCAGCGTGTATGGCGCTAATGCGTGTGTGACTGGAAGTGACGTATCTGACGTATGATGTCAACGCGTTTTGCCGATGGGCGTATCTCACTCGGCTTCGTCAGGACCAATGAGACATCTGCCTTTCAGCTTCCTATTTATGCTGGGCCCAGTACCGCCCATATATGCAAATCGGTTGCTGGCAATCATTCTCAATGGAAAAAAAAAAGAGCTAATTACTTAGCAAGACAGCTGATCCTATAACACAATTAAAAGAGTAGACACCTGGGCAGACCCAGGTATTTCACTAAGGATACCAACAGTGATTCCTTTATGAATAACTCTGCATCTTTACATATGGGCATGTCCACTGTGAATCTGTACATCTTCACCACTCACTCATGCCCTACATAGGGGCTGCATTTCTATTATTTTATCATCCTGGTTATTATAGGAGCAACCGAACCCCCCCCCCCCTTTTACATTTCCAATTTTTTCACCCACATTGCCTTGATTGGGTTATGGGTAATCTCATTAGTATATGGTGCCTGTTATCTGCCATTATTGCATAGCGTGTACAGTTTTATACCTGATTACAATTTTTTGACACACCCCCTGCTGGTGGTGTAACCAATGTGTTGGTGCTGCAAATGCACTAGACAGGTTTCTGTCATTTCTTATGCAGCACATTTATATTAAGACTGGTCTTGATGTTGCTTTTATGTGATTTTAGGTCTTTGTGTATTATCTCATACTGAGGTGATGGTGAACAGGGTATTCACCCGATTGTCTATAATTATTGTGTAATAAAGCATAATTTTTGGGAATCATTATGAGTATCGCATTCTGTCCATGATGTAACCACTTTTTTCTGTGAATTTCTTTTTCACAACCCCTCTTTTTTGTATGCATTTTATGGGGCCCCCTACTGACCCGGGGCCCTCGGGCAGTGCCCGAGTGACTGAATGGTCAGTCTGCCCCTGGAGGGAACTCTTCCAAAAAGGAACAAAGAAAGTGAAAAAGTTGACAAAGGTTCTGATCTTCCCCCACTAAAAACAATGTTTTTGCTAGAGTTAAAAATTAGAGCTTTAAAATGACCCTATAAAAATGTGTATGCTTTCCTGAGCAGCAGACTGCAAATACATTCGTCACTTTCTTTTAGAGCTACAGTTAGTGCACAACTGCTATCCAACATTTCCAGTTGTCAGATAGTGAGTTCCCACAAGGGGCTGTAGTTCCTCCAGCAGGCCCCTACATCACCACAGTAGGGGTATTGGGGGTGGTGGAAGGAAACACATTACCCAGCAGTAGACCTTGGCTTGGAGTGGAGCTATATTTCATGTATCATTTATAACTAACGGGCCATTTTTATTTTTTCGCAGGTAATCATAAATAGTATTTGCACTTGTTTTTTTTAGAATTAGATATTCCAAATTTCCCTGTGTTGCTTCATTCTTTGCTATACAGCAGAAGAAAAGTTTAAAATGCTATGAGTTGCATTTATCATTTCTGTGTTAAATCAAGGCAAGGCTAAGCAGGCGCAATGAAACTGATTTATTCTAATTATGCAGCTTTTTTATTGAATTAAACCCCTACTCCTTACCACTTCCTAATTGTGCAAATGTTAGGAGATAAAATATGTATCTTCTTGATGGATATCTGTCTCACCTTTAATTGTAGTTCTGCTGCAGACCTGAGATCCATTTCAATTTCCTGCTGAGGATTACAGGCTTAGGGATCACAAATACACATTAAAGCTTGTTGCATAGATTTTTCTAACTGCCAGACAGCCTGATTTTGCATCTAATTTGTTGCTTTGGTGTAGAAACTCCAAACCACCATCAAGAAAATATCGTGGTGAGTCTTGGCACTCTGGCGACTTAATTAAGGGCAGGTAGGTATATAGGTATATATCCTGTCCATTGTTTTTACAAAAATACCTACACATCCTAGTAAGTAACCAGCCTATCCTGCTTTTCGAACAGTTTTTAGTTAAGAACCAATTCTGTCATTTTAGATTCCATTTGATAACATTCTGAATTACTGTAACTAACTTTGCCTATATGTTGAAACTTGTTTTATTCTATGTATTTTCTCTTTTACAGTGTCCCTTTTGAAGAATCTGAAGCATGCTAACATTGTTACACTTCATGATATCATTCACACAAATTATTCTTTAACTTTAGTCTTTGAATACCTGGTAAGCTTAATATACCTAACATATGGTCTAAAAGCAAGATGCAAATGTGGTATTGAGTTAAGCAATTACAACCTTTATCAGAGACTCATAAGTTATTGCCTTAATGTTATTTCCAATAAGAATTTTATGCCTAAAGGTATCCTACCTTATTACTTACATCCCTGGGACTGTATTGTTTATACAACCACTTGATCCAGATCTTCTTCATTGATCTAAAAGATATGCTACATCCTGTACTTATACGTGTTACTTTTACATGACAGGTTGCTTTCTGGAAAGCTATCATGGACTAAGCTAATTTAATTATGCTTCACTTAAAGCAAAACTTTTAAAAATGGCTTGGAGCGACAGGTTCTTGGCAAAAGAGGCACTCAAGGTCTCTGTAGTCTCTTTGTGTACATTCTGGGTTATTCTTGGCAAGCCAATAATAGAGGTGGGTGCTAGAGACCATTTTAACTCCTGCGAACATGCACAGGAGTTACATTATCAATGGTTCTCTAATGGCCAAAGAAGACCAATACAGAACCCAGAAGAACCAGCGTAGCAGATGGTGGCCGGAGCCTTCACCAATGGAGGAATTTGCACTAACTGGGTAAATGTGCACATTATGGCAAAAACTAACCCTCGTGCAGTGGAATTTATTTCCGATTTAAGCTCTCCACAATACCTTATAAAGTGCCCCTTTAAAAACTTCCATTTTCATGAGCACCAATTCAAGTAGACCACTTGGATACCCAGTCTTTGTGAAAGTGGTTTGGAGAAAGAATCTGAAATCATCACACCATCCTTTATATTTTTTAGAATAGGTATTAGAATTTTATCCCTTGCTTATAGCAAGGAATTATATTGTTGTGGTTGGCCAAAAAATCTAACTTCTGTGTTTGCCTTATGTATTCCTGGAATGGAAGACCTTGTGTTATAGTTTATGGTCAAGTAAACAAAACTGGCTACGAAAAGCCTTTTTAAAATTGACAGAGTTATGTTAACCTGTTCTGCTGTCCCTGTCCTCTTGTGGAGTTGAATTTTCCCTTAGCTTAGTGAATGAGGTGAAGCTTGTGTGACTTCCATCATCCAATTACATGCAAGCAAAAATGCTCCCTATGCTACAGTCACCAGTGACTATTGTGAAATAGTATACTAATAGTAGTTCAAACTGAGTGTAAGTAAAAAGTTTGTGAATGCCTGATTAGAAAGAATGACATCATCTAATACCCATAAGGACCAAACCTTATTGATATCCTATCAATATCAATAACAGATTTTAGTGAATGCCCACTTTGCAAAGAATACCCAGTCGCATGCAAGGATAATTCAAAATAACTTTTTTCTTATGTTCATTGACGGACTACGCTCTTCTAATTTTCTATTGCCATCTACAGGAGTAGGATACTAGGCAGAAAAAAGAACACAGCACTGCCTATGGGCAGTTCTAAATGTATAAACTCTCTCTCTGCTATAGGCAATTCAGTAATTTCTGCCTAGTGTCTTAGGAGTATGGACTTGTTGTTTCCACTGAGACTTTTGGTCCCACAGCTTTATTTCCTTTTTATGTAATTTTTGCTTTTTTCCTGTGGTGATCTTCTATCAACAGTCAGGCTGGGTGACAGGCTGGATAATCTAGATCCAGTGGTCATCCCAGTCTGACAGCGAGTGTGTGCAGGCCGGGTCAGCTCCAATTTTGCCCCATCCTTAACGGGGGCGGCCAGCAAGTTAAACAGCATGCGAGGACACATATGACCGGGCGCCTATAGTCCGTGTCACAGTGTTACCCTGGCTAACAGCCCCCCACTTCAATGGAGAGGAGGACCTGTAATGGGAGCCTAACCCACACGCTCCATTGGATTGGAAAGTAGATGCCCCCTCCCTTCCCTCCCAGGACGCAGTGTGGGACGCGGGTACTCCCTGGGGTGGTCAATCCTTTGGGTTCCCCTCCTGTCCTAGTAGTGGTTTGTCTCACCCTTCCTCCCACAACCCCCTTCCCCCACGCTGTCTTGCTTGCCTGCAATGGGTATTGTGTGTCCTACCCGAATGCCTCGATGAGCTTTGGGTCCTCCGGAGGTCTGCAGGTGTGGGAGTGACACTGGTGGGCTGGGTCCTGCAGCGGGTGTGTGTGCATTGTGGGCTTACTCTGGTCCCCCGCAGCCAGCTGTATGCTGCCTGGAGCTCTGCTCCTGGGGCTGGGGTTCCCAGTCAGCCCTTCTGCGGGGTGGTACAAGACGTGGTGGTCCGGCCGCAAATTTAGGCCGCATCTTTGCAGCCTACTCAGTGGGCTCCGTTGCCTGCCATCTTTGTTTTGAACACCTTGCCCGAGGGAGGGAATAGCATGCCAAGCATTCAGTCCCTTCATGTGGTAAGAGCCTCCCCAGCATATTATTGAAGGCTGCACAGGAGGTGCACTGGGGTTCTCACAGTCAAGTGGCTTTGCGAGCACAGAGGGGGCTCCGTGCCTGACCAATGGCTGGGTGCCCCCCTCCTATGACTGCTGTTGGTTGGCATGGCTGCGTTGGGGTGGGTGGGTGTGTTTTGCAGTGTCACGCCCTGGCACTTGCTGATCTGGCTCTGCATTGTAGCTTTGAAATTGAATTAGCACTGGATTGTCCCCCCTCTGTATCCTTGTGGCCTCAGGATGCAAGTTTTTCTGCGAAGAGGGCATAAGGCCTCTGCCGATGCTCCCACACAATAAAAAAAACAATGTGCTGGTGGCCACTCTGTTTCCTCAATGAGAACGTTTTTGGAGGGCGGATACTCATGGGCTGCCATTAAAGTAATTGTCCCCTTTGGTGCTCTTTGACGTCTAGGCACTTATGGGGTTTTTTTGCTTATCCTGCCTATTTTCAAGGTTTGTTTCCCATACCAGGAATTTCCACAGCATCTCTTTGTGGTTCTCAAGCATTCTGGTACATTACCCTATGAGGAGGCCCTTCTGAAAATGTGGGTCTCTCCTCCTGTAGTAATCCCACCATATCTAGGTAGAGAAGGCATCCATGCTACCAGGGAGGAGGCTCCTTTCTTCACGATTCTGTGGCTATAGTTGCATCAGGCATCTGCTATGTTCTCCATTGCCGGTTTGGCGGTATGACTTGGGAGCGGTGCAGACTTGGCTTCTCAGATGCCAACAGAATGGGCCAACAGCTTTTGAGGCTGTCTGGGTACGGAACAGGTGTCCATTGTATGTGGACCTAGCGGAACAATGGTCCAGGGCCTTAGTGAGTGTTTGAAGCAGCCCTGGATACTCCCCGAGTGCTCCAGCGAGTCGTTGGCTTACATGTAGGTACGTCAACCTGTTGTCTTACATGCCCCAAGCAGACCTTCCCTTCCTGGCTCCCCTTTTAGGGATTTGAGTCCCTTAATGGCACTCACAGGTGATGCCTAGTGTTTCCAGCCTTACATGGCACAAAGTCTGCGGATAAGTCCTCCTCAGTGTGGAGCTATCTTCCAGGGTAGTTTACGGACCCATGGGCCTCCCCCATCTCAACAGAAGGACCTGCAGACTGATGGGTCCAGCTTCCACATGGAATTTCTTTCTTTAGGAAAATTCTTCCTGTCCTATTTGGCCTGTCTCACCCGTGGGGCTCTGCGGGGCGAGGCGTTTTTTGCTTCCTCAGGATTGTCCGGAGCCGAACCGTTTTGGATGTTTCTACTCTAACTGGTTTATTGTTTCAAAGAGTGGACAGGGGTCCCTGAATCCCAGTCCTCAAGGCCTTAAATTGCCGTATGCAGATGCAAAGGTCAGGATGGAATCCATCCATTCTATGGTGACTTTCCCTACTCTGGGTCATTTTCTGGCCTCCATAGACATGAGGCTGTGCGCCTGCATGTCCCTACCTGTGCTTGGTATGAATGCCTTTTGTGTTTATTTTTGAAGTGGAGACACACATTTTCATTTGTGCCATCTTCCGTAGCACAGGCCTCCGATCCTCGGATTCATAAAGGGGCTGGCCGATATTGACATTGCTGTGACAACGGGAGGGATTCTGATGGTTCTGCATTTCACAAAGTCTGCTTTAACCTTGACCTGAGGGCTGTAGTCTCTGGGTCTGATCCTCGACTCACAAGGGTATTTCCTGATGGAAAAGCTCTACAAGCTTCAGGCTGTGGGGTTTTTGGTGCTCCTGTACAGATGGTGTTCAGTGGTCGCCGATTAACCCTGGGGCCTAAGGTGTCCATCCCCGTGGTAGTCCCATCTGCGGGGTTTTATGCGCTGTTCTGTGAAAGAAACTTCCTAGTCAGTGGGCTTCATCTTCTGTTCCCCCTGGTCATCCAAACTTGTAAGAGTCTGTTGTCCAGAGCCCCTCTCCTCTGATGGTGTCAGTGTCCCCCTCCCCACATTCTGGGGAGCCCCTTTTTCCCTCTCCACAGGACAATAGTCATGACAGATGCCAACTTGTCCAGCTGGGAAGGGGTCCTGCGGTCGAGCTTGGCACATTGAATTTACTAAAACTGGAGAGTGCAAAAACTAGTACAACTCTGCAGAGAAACCAATCAGCTTGCAGGTTTTATTTTCAAGGCTTAATTGAACAAGGTAAAAGCTGATTGGCTACCACGCACAGCTGCACCAGATTGAATGCTCCAGCTTTAGTAAATCTCCCACATAGCATTCACCATTACAGCAGTAATCATATTTACAAAGTGTTGTGTAAAAAAAATGTATGTATGTAACAATAAATGTGCTCTGAAACACTGTTAAGTACAGTACAAAAACTAAACATGTCCAGAAGTAAGGAAGGGTAAGAAGAGAGAGAGGGCAGGGAAGGGTTCCAGGGTTTTGCCTATAGATGCAAATTAGATACCCAGCAGGCATGGATAGACAAGGATTTAGGTCTGGGCTCAAGCAAAGATTCATCAAAACCAGCAGGGAGGAAGTGGGTCACCTAAGGACACCATAATTTAATGTATGCAGAAACCCTGTCTTGTAAGGTGGCATCTATTTTGCCATGAATCATGACTTGCGGAACCCTGTTCTTAGCTTCAGTAAGGCACAAGCTAGGCATTTTCCAGGCCTTTGCCAGCGTCTGCTTAGCAGCTGTGGTAACCTGCAGAAGAAGTTTAAACTTCCGATTAGCAATCTTAAAAGCATTCCGGTTAAAAGAAAGAGGTCTGTCAAAAATTGTGCACCAGGAGGCAGGGCCACCATATATAGAGATAGCCCCTAAAACAGATGAGTGAATACATTTGGACGTATTTACTAATCCGCACAGGGACCAAGTACCACCACAGAAGTAATTTAAAGCTGATCTCCACCGTTATGTTCACTATACATAGTTTATTTAGGTTAAGCTTTCTACAAAACTGAAGCTAGCTGGGAAGGGATAGATTATAGAGAGGATGTCCCTATAGTTATTTTGCTAGTGTCCAGTCACCTAAATGTAGCTGCCTATACCCTGTGGTTATGACTACGCTTTCTGTGTCCTGTTTTGTACTCCAAAAAAGGAATTTTACGGGTGATTAAAAAATTGTATTTTAGTGCATTTAAAGTAGTAAAGTTAACAAAAGATTAATTATTTGTCTAATATATTTTATATGCTTGCTTCCAGGATAGTGACCTAAAACAATATCTGGATAACTGTGGTAGCTTGATGTCAATGCACAATGTAAAGGTGAGAGGCATAGTCTGCAAAAAGGTTTTAATTACTTCTGTTAGTATTATTTTGTGCTGTCAAGTTGATGTTAACTCCTGGGTATCACATGGATAGTGTTTCTCCAGAATAATCTGTATTCTGTTTGCCTCTTAAAAGTAGAATTAAACCTTTTGGCTGGAACTGTGATAATGTGCAAATATGTACAATATATTTGTACACTATGAAACTCTAACCTTGTAAATTGCTACCCTTCCACGCTGTGATATCTATCCCTTTTTACTCTTTTGCTAGTGCTTCCATTAATTCTCTTCCTAACTCCGAAATCTTGAGTTTTTAACTACTTTGTTTGGCTGGGCCAGGATGATGTAACTCTTGCGCATATGCTTCATTCAATAGTGCAAAAATTCTAGCAGGCAGGGGGAACAATTTTATATCAAAAGAAACAGAGAGTCTCTTCTACCATAAAAAATCTTTTGTATAAGATTTCAGATTTGTTTCTGCATTAAATCTTCGCAGTGTCATGTTCATAATTTCTTTGACTGTATCTATCTACCTTATTGTTGTTTGTTCTCTTTTTTTCCCTTTAACATTTCCAAGCATAATTGTTATTTCCAGTGCCAACATCTAAAGTGCACCCACTGCATCTAAGGAATGAATGCTCTCCTCTGATACACGACTGCTTGCACATGTGCAATGCACTTTCCTCACCCATCACAGCAGGAGCTGAGATCACCAGAGTGGATTGCACATGCGTGCTTGTATGTTAGAGACCACTCATTCCTTAGATGAGTAGGCACGCCTGGAATGTGTTGCTGCACCCAGCAGTTACATAGTTACATAGTTGGTCTGGCTGACAAAAAAGACAAAAGTCCATCCAGTTCAACTATTAAAAAAAAAAAAAAAAAGTTATAATCCTATACCCACAGTTGATCCAGAAGAAGGCAAAAAAAACCCCAGCAAAGCATGAATCAATTTGCTTCTGCAGGGAAAAAAATCCTTCCTGATCCCCTGAGAGGCAATTGGATATTCCCTGGATCAACTTTACCTATAAATGTTAGTATCCAGTTATATTCTGTGTATCTAAGAAAGAATCCAGGCCTTTTTTAAAGCAATCCACAGAACCAACTCTTGAGGGAGTCTATTTCACATTTTCACAGCTCTCACTGTGAAGAAACCTTTCCGTGTTTGTATTAAATTTCTTTTCCTCCAGATGTAAAGAGTGCCCCCTTGTCCTCTGTGATGACCTCGGGGTGAATAACTCTACACCGAGTTCACTATATGAACCACTGATGTATTCATACATGTTGATCATATCCCCCCTTAATCTCCTCTTCTCAAGAGACAATAAATTCAGTTCCTCTAATCTTTCCTCATAGCTGAGCTCCTCCATGTCTCTTATCAGTTTGGTTGCCCTTCTCTGTACTTTCTCCAATTCCCCAATGTTCTTTTTGTGAATTGTATTAAAGGCACTCACTGGTTTCCTCTATCTTTTGAGGCTTTTTTTTAAAGAACAAAGCTACATTTTTCACAGGATACAGTTGGAAAGCATGTTTTAAATTTGTCACATTAAAAAAAGTAATGTACATAAACACGTACAAAACTCTTTATTTACATTTGAGCTCTATGTAAAAGCAGTAACCTTGAAGCGGTAGGTGTGCCCGCCATTGCATCCCTAAATCCCTGAATAAAACATCAATACCTTGGAGGAGATTAAAAAGCAAAGAAGAACAAAAAAGGGAAAGGGGAGGACCAAGAGTAGAAAAGAAGACAGAATGAGAAGAGCAGAAGGGGACCCATCCCAGCCAAATCCATCCACGCCAACACATAGGGGTTTATTTACTAAAGCTGGAGAGTCCAAAATCAGACTCCCTTCTGCATAGAAACCAATCAGCTTCCAGGTTTCATTGCCAAAGCTTCATTGAACAAGCTGAGGTTAGAAGCTGATTGGTTTCTAGGCAGAAGGGAGTCTGATTTTGGACTCTCCAGCTTTAGTAAATAAACCCCATAATGCCCAGCAGACAAATGAAGATCACAAATAGGATCTCAGAACTTCAGCATGTGATCCCAGGTGCACCATATAGCCATAAATTTGAAATGTTTTTCCTGCAGGCTCACAGTGAACTCTTCCATACACATGACATGATTCAGGTCGGCCACCCATTTTCTGATGCTAGGCAAACAGTGGAGTTCCAGTGTCTGGAAAAAAATAGCCTAAGCCGTTGCCAGAAGGAATCGCAACAAATATTTTTTAGCCACCTGTGGGGAATCCGGGAAATTAGAAAGAAAAGCCAGTTCTGGTTGAAATGGTAGATCACTACCCATGATGGGTGAACCATGTTCAAATACAGCTTGCCAGAACGGTATCAATTGTGGGCAGTTCCGCCACAGGTGAAGCATAGTGGGTCATCTGTACCACCTAGCCAAAATTTAAAAATTCCTCTGCTGAATTTGAGCATCTTTTTGATGCTTTGTTGCAAGGTTAAGTCGATTCTCTGAAATCTATCATGCTTGAGGTGATTGTAGCCGTATTAGTGCATTTGCGACAGCAATTGAGTATCACGGACAGTACTCAATTGTTTCTGTCTGAAATCTATCAAAAACTACAATTTACTTACTGGACCAATTCTATAATCTGTAGAGGTATGTATAGTTATAGAATGTTTGTCACCTGTAACAATGTTTTCTATCTTTACAGATATTTATGTTTCAGCTGCTTCGGGGCTTGTCATACTGCCACCACAGAAAAGTCCTACACAGGGATCTCAAGCCACAGAATTTATTAATCAACGAAAAGGGAGAGTTAAAGCTAGCAGACTTTGGTGTGTGCATTCTGTTGCAATGATATGAGCAACTTTGAGTAGCTATGATATGAGTATCTCGATGCATACATGCCATGCCATGCCATGACATGTATGCATCGAGATCTGGCTAAAAAATAGTTTCATTTTATAAATGCTTTGATTAAGTGATGTGTTTGGGGCTTTTTGTTAAGAAAATTACGCTTTCAATATGGACAGATGCTTAATGTGGGCCTTATGATTCTCAAGTTAACAATACCAATAAGCTAATTTTGAAAAAGGTGTTATCAGTAGCCATAAATGTGTGAAAAGAGGGACCGAAACATGCTGAGATATACCATTTGTTTGTCATAATTCCAAAGGAATTATCACAGGTTTAGTTTTCACAGTTTTGCATCAAATATAGCCCTGGGGGTTTGATCAGCATTTTATATTTTAGGCAGCATGGAAGAATACTGGCAATATTGTTTAATTACTTGCTAAACATGATTTTAGCCATATTAATGCAATTGCTACAGAACAACTGACTTCTGTCTGCGATACTTTATTTGTGCTAAGTTACATTTCAGGATTAGCTTTTTGGGTGTTTCTTTATATTCAGTCCAATTAGCACTGATATACAAAGCTTTATTAAAGTGTTCAATCAACATTCTTATAAAAACAGAATGTCATGCATAGGCGAGATAAAATATGGTATAAAGTGCAGCGCATTCTTATAAAAACAACACAGGCATGGTAATAAAAGTGAGAAGGTTAAATCGCTATTAAACCCAACAACCAAAAATTTTATATATTGCAGCTTACCAATACTTGGATGTGGTGGCTGCATTAGTTTTCTTTCTTAGGCTTTTTTTCCTTTAGTTCACCTGGTGATCCATTCAGTAACACACTTTCTGTCCTAGGGTGCTTGCAATCTGGATGTAAAGAAGACATGTTTAGACAACAGCATTGTCAGTCTGGGGAGAGGGTAGTGTTACACTAGCTGGACTTCACCAAAAAATTCAAGCTGAACTCCAGCTGACACTTTATAAGCAGTTATAGAAGTTTTTTTCTCCTTTTGGGATAAAGGTTTTACATAAATTAATAAAAACTGACCATTGTGAGCAACTGTTGTAAGTGGTAAATGATTTGTCTCAACAATCTCACTGCTGCTTTGTCTGGGCAGCTTCATCTGTTAACCACTTCCCGTCTAGCCCATGTACATAAACGGCCGTACGGGAGCAGTACAGGAGCGGGTTGCCATTTATAAACAGCCTCCACATTCACTGCCCGTGCACTCTCCCTGGGAGCGTGCAGCACCACGATCCGGTGCCCGCTGTGTCCTCCAGTGACACCGATCACTGTACGGGACCTCTGTGTAAGGTCCCGATCATGTGATCACTGACTGGCCAATCAGTGATCACATGAATAGTAGAAAGCAAGACGTCACTTCCTGACATCATTACTGAATGATCACAGAGGTCACATGGTACAAGGCTATTCACAACAGCCTTGTACCATGTGACAAGCTGTGACCAATCACAGCTCACACAGTATTTCTCAATCGCTGCAAGAATGCAGCCAGATAGAAGGAGAAATGATTGTTTTTACAGTCTTTATGGGTGTAAAAGCAATCAGTGTAAAAAAAGAAAAAAAAAAACATTTTCATCCCCCCACAAGTAGTACAGTGTCACTATGGTGACACTGTACTGCTAGAGTGACAGTATGTTAAACAGAAAAAAAACCATAAGTAATAATATAAAAAAAAAATAAAAATGTAAAACAAATTTTTGAAAAATTATAATTTTTGGTTATAAACTAATTTGGGTTTTTTTTTTTTCTACTAAAAAGATAGCTGAATACATTTTGGCCAAGATTTATGAAGAAAGATTATTTATTTGCAAAATGTTATAAGAAAAACACCTTTTTTTCAAAATGTTTGGACTTTTTTCATTTATATTATATAAACATTTATATTTAAAGCTGAAAATTGGCCTGGACAGGAAGGGGGGAAAGTGTCCGGATGTGAAGTGGTTAAAGGAAGTTGAAAAATAGCAGAATTACTGGCTGGATCATCGGGTTTTTTTTAACTTACTGGTAATTAATGCCACTGTTGTGATTAAACATCTGGAATTCTTTGAGTCCATTGTTTTGCATGGCGATTCTTCTTCCGTCTCCCCTGGGAACCCTTGAAACTGACTCACATTTGCTCCCGCTTTCCCAAATACAGTATAGTCACCTTTCAATAGCAAGAGAAGACACATGCATTATACTGTAGGATTGGAAGAGAATGCATTTTCTATAACTGGAGGCTTCGGGAGCTCCCTAGGTGTAGTAGATTAAATATGTTTAAGGTTTGTCTCAGCACTTGGTGTCTTCTATTACACCGCTACAGCCATTTATTCTGTATTATTTTTATACAATAGGTTTATTAGGAAAGGCACTGCACAGCATAAGGATCCCTAGTATCTATGTTTATTGTGCAGGATATCCACAAACATGACTTTGACAGTCCCACCCTAGGACTGGCCATCTAAAACGTTTTACCCACTAGAGCTTAATCATAGGGAATGGGATCTTAATAAATAAACATGGATATTAATAATCCCTCCAATGTGTAGTGGCTCCCTCTTCTGCATTTATTAACCCCTTGACGCCTAAGGGTAAAACAATCTTAATGCCTAAGCACAATTTTGCATGTGTTAGTAAAACCATACACATCATCACAACTACTTTGTACATCCAGGTGGATTATACCTTGTTTTTTTCAGGACAAATTGGGCTTTCATTTGGTGGTAAATGGTAATGGATATCTCCTGATTTTTTTTTTTTATTATCAAAGAAAAACTGGCCCAAAATAGTAAAAAAAAAATCTTTTTTTAAATTTAACTGCGTGTTTCTTGTTACTATCATAACCTACCACCAAAGAACAACCCAAAATAAATTTTCCAGCTCTTGACAATTGCAGCAATACTATATATATGTATGTTATTTGTTGTTTGTACCCGTAGTACAGCCCCAAAAACAATAGCGCACATTTTGTTTTTACCTAAAACAAACTGACACTAACTGACACTGATACCAATTTAAAGGGGGAAAAAAATCCTGACCTTTGACCCTGACCTTTTGACTTTGCCCTTTGACCCTGACCTTGACCCAAACACTGGCACTGAACTAGATCAAACCTTAATCTAGGTATTTTTTATTTTATTTTTAAATATTTATTTATTTATTTTAATAATTTTTTTTCTCTATGCCAGGAGTTAGAGAGATACAATGTATTCATAGAGAGAAAAAAAAAAACAAGGGGGCAGGCTATACAGTAATTGATCATTGTGATAGCCAATCAGAGGCTATCACAGCGATCATGTGACCCGGAAATTGGGAGTCCCAGGTCCCGATCGTTAGAACGGGACCTGGGGCTCTCTGTGACACCCCGGTCTTTGTGCTGGGAGTGCGTTGTGTGAAGCGCTCCCAGCACAAAGACAGGTACGCAAATATACGGCCCCACGGAAAAAAGCCCAGTTCTGTGAGGCCGCATATTTGTGTGACATCAACTCGAAGGCATTAAAGTGGTATTAAACATAAGCAAATGTTTATTATATTGCAGATTATCATGGCTTTATTCATTTTCTTTTATAGGCTTTCTTTCTTTTATTTTCATCCGGTGATCCAACCAGTAAGTCTCTTGTTTTTCAAAAAAACAAACTCTTCAGCAGACTGTATCAGTTACAGAGATGGGACAAAACATTTAACACTGGCAGGGGTGCTTACAGTGGTCAGCTTTTATTTATGTACTGTATATGTAAATCCTTTATCTGCTGTCCAAAGAAGTCCCCTGTGCTCTTTCATCTAGAGCAGGGGCACTCTAATGCAAGAGGTTTGTTACTGGCCAGATCACCAGGTGTTGGAAAACAGAGGAAAATGCCTAAGACATGAAAACTGACGTTGTCACCACATCTAATGATTGGTAAGCTGCACTATATTACATTTTTGGTTTTGGGTTTAATACCGTTTTAAAGTAAACCTGTTTTATTAAAAGCAGTGTAAGAGCGGGTTTACATAAGAAAGTGGTGCAGGTGCCAGCACATTGTTAATGGCACCCCAAATGCAGATTTCAAACACAATGCTTTTGGGGCATCAGATCGCATAGTACAGCAGTACTATGGGATTTGATGCGGCCCATTTTTCAAAAGTTGCATTACTTTTTGTGCATTCTGGTCCAATTTGCAACAGTTGCAAAATTGCACTGCAGAGGAATTTGCAGGCATCATACAGGAACACGGACCCTGTTACTGTGCGATTCTGGTGTGAACCGGAATCTAATAGAAAGTATCATTACTTACCTCTTCTGTTAGATGTTGGACCTCTCTTTATGATGCAGAACCCTAGTTCTTATGGTGCTTTGCATAAATGAGTACACCCCAACAGATTTGTCAGAAAACCATTACTTTCCTTTCAGAATCAGCATTTTCTATGGGACACTATACTACAAAATACTCCTACAAATGCAGGCCATTGATTGCAAACAAGATTTGTTAATTTACACACACAAAAAACTATTTTTCCCAACAAATTCATTCAAGACCATGTTACATGAATACACCCCAGTGAAAGTCTTAGGAGCAAAGCTAAATTTTAAACGACAAAATCCTAATTAACAAGAATTCAACTACAGGTAAGTCTAATTATTCACATTAAAAAGGTGTCCAGCAGACAATTGACTATAAAAGGGCATTACTTAACAAAGAAAACACCTTCCTATTTCATGTTGTCAGCAATAGCACCACATGGAAGAGAAATTTCACAAGGCCTGAGAAAGAAAATTATTTCTTTACACAAGAAAGGTGAAGGCTACAAGAAGATCAGCAAAGCTTTACTTATGAGTCAGAATACTGTAGCAAAAGTGATACAAACATTTAACAAAGATGGAACTGCAACCATCTCACAGAGATGTCCAGGCCGTCCATCAGAAGTAACACCTCGACAGGAGTGTCTTCTGATGAGAAGGCTTGAAGAAAATTGCCATGCAAGTTCACTGCAGTTAGCTAAAGAAGTAGAAAGCCAAACTGGGGTGATTGTTTCCCGTGACACAATACAGTGTTTACTGCAAAGGAATGGCATGCATGGGTGTCATCCACAAAGGAAGCCTCTCCTAAAGCCCATACACAAAAAAGCCCGCCTAAAATTTTCCAGGGCCTATGCTGAAAAAGAAGACTACTGGTACTCTGTACGCTGGAGTGATGAGACCAAGATAAATGTTTTTGGAACTGAAGGCTTCAAAACTGTATGGCATCGCAGAGGTGCGGAGTACAAAGAAAAATGCATAATGCCTGCAGTGAAATATTGTGGTAGCAATATCCTTCGTGGGGCCACATCAGTGCTGCTTGTGATGGGGAGCTGCATTTTATTGATGGTATCATGAATTCACAGATGTACTGTTCTATATTGAAAGAGAAGATACAACCATCACTCCGTGCCCTTGGTCGTCCTGCACTTTTCCAACATGACAATGATCCAAAACGCACATTTAAGGCCACTGTTGCATTTCTGAAGAACAACAGGGTGAAAGTGATTAAGTGGCCAAGTATGTATCCTGATCTGAACCCAATCGAACATGTATGGGGAATTCTGAAGAGACAAGGTGAGCATCACTCTCCATCCAGCATTTAGGCTCTAAAAGAGGTCGTTCCTGAAGAATGGAACAGATAGATGCTGCAATGTTGCCAACTTGTTCATTCCATGCCTAGAAGACTTGGTGCTGTCCTTACAGTCATACAAAATACTAGATGTAGTAGTTTTTGTTGTGAGGTGTATTCATTTGTGCATCAATTAATTTGAGTATAACTGAAGATTTTGTAATCTAAATTATATTATTAACCTTACTTTCATGTAATGAGCTAAACAGATGTTCTATAAAAAAGTTTGTCAAAATTTTGGAAATTGTTCTTGTGTTCATTGAGATATTGATTAAAATCTAACGTTTTAAAAGGGGTGTACTCATTTATGCTGAGCACCTGTATGTAAAGTCACTTTCCAAAGATCAGAGATTAGGTATACCCTGCTCTACACCACGCAAAGCAATGACCAGAGTAATCTATCAAGAGGCTTAATCTTATTATTTAAACACTGCTGCTTGGGATGCAATGAAAGCATACTTGGCTTTGACTTTCCATTTTTGGGGGTTTTCCGGGATGACTCTTGTAGATTTATACTTTTTTTCATTAGTACAGTTTTACTTTAGGGCCCTATTTACATTGTTACATTTTAATATGTTGATTGTGGTATGCATAATTATGCAAGTTTTAAAGTATTTTTGCCCTCTAGTATAAAAAAAATGCATACACTAGTATAAAATTCAAGTGAGTTACTGGCCATTTTTTAATGACCTTATGCCTGTTTTTGTTTGCTGTGTTAATTCTGTGATTTATAGCACAGATTGATGACCCACATAACATATTTCCATACTGATCAATTTCCTCCTCATATTCTAGCGTTACTCAGTGAGGAAGGGCAGTGTTTGTATGTTGTGAATACTAGCTATGCAGAAGACAGAAGAATAGCTGTCAGTCAGTCATACCTACAGGATGATGGCTGTTATCCCAAATTAGAGCCATTCAACAAGTGGCCTCCGTCCTCTAAGTTAGTTTAAACATTAAAATTGATAGTAGGTCTTTAATCTGCTATTAGTTGTTGCCAAACAATATGATATTATAATGTAGTTTTCTTTTGCTTTGTTTGCCTATGTAGGCCTTGCAAGAGCTAAGTCTGTACCCACCAAAACCTATTCCAATGAAGTCGTAACATTATGGTACCGACCACCAGATGTCCTGCTGGGATCAACAGAATACAGCACACCTATCGATATGTGGTGAGTGATAGTGAATGCCTCAATTTGGCAAAACTACATACTGTATACCTAAAATAAACCATTCCTTTTTATTTCCTAACATGTGAATGTGTACCTTATTTTTAAAAGGTTTTCATTTTAAATATATGAGCTGTTTCCCTTTCACTGCATTGTCCTGTTCTCTATTTTTCACCTCAGGTGGCCAGACTATTTTTGCAATTTTGACATTTTTTAATACTTATTCACACACAGCTTTCAGTTTGTAAAAAAAAACCCAAACCGTACATTTTCTTGAAAAAACAGGGGCAATAGAATAAGTCCCGTGATAGTTGAGCAAATGTTTATCAAAACAATGTTTCAGATAAAAATACATTAGAGGCATCATTAATACACACAAACACAACATAACTTACAAAATTCTAACTGTGGAAATGAGTTGCACATTGTTACTGCTCCAACAGTAAAAATCCTCAGTTTAAGATTGTGGCCATGTATCTTCTTTAGAGACGTTAGGTCAAATAGTTTCCTCCCAATGCTAGAGTCCCCATTTAAAAATTTGTATGATGTACTCATATCTCCTCTTAAGTGGTTAGGGGAAAATTATGTTTAATGTTTGTAGTCATTCTTCATAGGTGAGGTCCTCCATCCCCTTATTAGCTTTGTTGCCCTTCTATGGACTCCCTTCAATTTAAGGACATCCTCCCTGAGGACTGGTGACCAAAACTGGAAGGCAAACTCAAGATGTGTCCAGATCTGGGTTTTGTAAAATAGTAGAATTATAGTTTTATTTCTTGAGTAAATACCCTTTTTAATGCATGCTAATAGTCTGCTGCCTTGTTTGCTGAAGCTTGGCATTTCTAGACCCCCAGATCCTTTTCCTTCCTTGATTGGACACAGCTGATCACGAGGTAAAAGGCCACTGTGATTACCCTTTTATCACATCATGTAATCAGTTGTGTCCGTAGGACACAGTGATCACAGAGATCTCTGGGTGCGTTCCCCCAGGGGCGCGTTCTGGGAGGACGTCATATGACGCCTTCCCAGGACTCTACAACCGCGCTGTAGCCAATATTCGGCTATAGAACAGTTGGCAAGTGGTTAAGAATAAGCTAAATAGAATTTAGCCCTGGGGTACACGGCTTACAATTCTAGACCATTCATAAAATATGCCATTATTCACCACCCTCTGGACGCGCTTCTGCAACCAGTTTTCTATTCAGGTAGAAATTATTTCATCAATGTCAAAAGACCTTAATTTGTAGATTATTGTTTATGGGCTACTGACCTTTCTCTATCCAGATTACAGTTTACCTCCACATAGAACTTGAAAAGGTTGGTCTGGCAAGAACATCAGCAAAAATCTTGGATATGGTCACTTATTATTCCTTTCAATAGTTTAAAAACTTTTGATGTTAGGCTGACTGGTCTGTAGTTTCCAGGTATATATCTCAGCCCTTTTTGTTTGCCTTTGCCTTTCACAAATCAGATGTTATCAATCCAGTAAATAACCTTCCTTTAAAAATTAGGAATAACAGTCTGGCTATAACATATCTAAGTTTTTTGTCCTGGCTGTAAGCCATTCAGCCCTGGTGATTTGTTTGCATTACATTTTTCTAGTGTTTTTTGAACAGTGGCCTCTTTCACCCACATAGGTACATTTAGTATAATGTTATTAACCTTACTGTCTTGTTTGTTATACCCCTTCTTTTATCTTTGTATAAATTAAGGTGAAGAATATACATATTTATTACAGTTGCCTTCTCTCTGTCACTTGTGACCAACTTCCCATGATCATCTTTTATGGGGCAAATGTGTTCTGACTTAGCCTTTTTACTATAATATATTTGAAAAATGTTTTGGGATTCTTTTGCTCCTGCATTTCCTATTGCATTCTTTGTATTTTTAGAATGCTGATGGTGACCCTTCGATCTTATATTTTTAAAGGACAGTTTTATCTCATTAGTTTTTTTTATGTTGGTATTTAGCAGCCCAGATTTATTTTTTTCTCTTTTATGTTTATTGCCCATTTAAATTCAAAGACTATTGTCATTGTTTAATATGTCTCTAAAGCTTAATAAAGTTGGCTCTTTAGAAAATTAGTGTTGTTGTCATACCCTCATGCCTACTTTTCCTATAATTTTTGGCAAATGAATTACTTTGTATTCACTGTATCCTAAGTTATCCCTTCCACATCTGCAATGATCTCTGTGTTGTTTGTAATTAATAGGTCCAGCAGAGCATTATATCTAGTTGTGGCTTCCACAATTTGACTGATGAAATTGTCCTGGAATACATTCAAGAAATGACGAGATTTAGTTCCGTCTACCCACTTAATATCAGGATAGTTGGAAGTCCCCATGATTATAGCATTGCCCTTCCTTCTCCCAATCTCTAACTATGAAAGTAGATTGGTCACCACCTCCTCCTTAACTTTAGGGGGCCTATAGCATGAACCCACAATTAATGTATCATTTATTTTGTTCCCTTGAAACTCCAGCTTCAAGGACACTTCCTCACTAGCCCCGTTAGCAATGTCAGCCCTCATTTTTACCATCAAATCTCTCTTGACATAAAGGCACACCCCTGCCCCTCCTCTATCACCATGTCCCTCCGACATAGGGAGTACCCCTAGACAGTCTCAAGCCAGACATGTGAGCTGTCAAACTAGATTTCTGATATTCCCACAAAGTCAAAATCCTCCTCATGTATTATTACTTCTAGTTCTACCATTTTAATAACCACACATATTATTTTATCATTGCTTGCTCTCGAGTTACAGCAAGATTCATCCAGCCTACAATCATTGATACTCAATACTTTGGCCCAGATCTGAACACTGTGACCCTTGCTTACTGCAATGTATAACCTTTCACTATTCTCTCTCCCACATCCTAGTTTATAAGTTCCTCCAACATTCTGGCCATCGTCTCCCCACAACAGAGCCGCACCATCCCCATTTCTGTGCAGTTCATCCCTGCAGCAAAAGCCCAATTCTCTTTTAAACCAAAACCCTTCTTCTTACACCAGTTCCTCAGCCACTTGTTTACCTCTGTAAGCTCCTGTTGCCTTTATGGTGTGGCTTGAAGTACAGATATTATTTTTTGGAATACTACTTTGGATGTCCCTTTCTTTAATATAGCACCTAAGCCCCTGAAATCATTTTAAGGACACCCCATCTTCTTCTGATTTCCTCCACAGCTCCACCCAGCAATTTGACCCTCAATTTTCCAGGCAAACTAGCCCCATCTATCTTTTTAATGATTGAGTCCCCTAGCACCAGTATCCATCTATCCTTGTCTATACTTTTGCCCACATCCTTACTAGAGTTGTTGTTCTCCTGGCAGCTAGGGAAAGTAGTCTGTTCTAGCAATGCCACTTCTGAGCTGAAATATCCAGCATCATGCAGCCGAACATATTAACCCAGTACGTCTGGCACCTGCACCTCTATAACACCACCCTCTTCTTTACTGGCTCCAGCCAGCACTTGACAGGTAGGATTCACACTCCTATCCATGTTGCAGATGCTTCACAGTGTTGCCAGGTGATCTTTTAGATCCATAATCTAGGCTTTCAAACAAACAACAACTTGTTCACATCTCACACAGTAGTATTTACCTTCAAATGGTTGTTCAAGGAATGTATACATGGAGCAAGATGTGCAGCGGGTCACATCACTACTCTTGTAGGACATGTTACCTTCTAACATAATGAGGATAATCAAAAACATTTTTTTTTTTTATTTAATTTATGTATTTATTTTATTCTAATCTCTATTGTTTTGTCCTAAACTGTTTGAGAAGTAAAAGAAACTACTCAGTTTTCTCACCGTGCCCCCTCGGTACGCTCCCTCACATTCAATCATAAACTGAAGAAGATCATTTAACATAAGAAATCACATTTTGATATGAATGGCTGCAGTTAGCAGCTTGTTTGATCACAGCTATTCATTAATCAGCAGAGTCTAGGGGACCCTATTGCCAAAAGTTCATGATCGCTGAAGTGACTATGAGCTTAAAGCCTAAGGAAATGCAGCTGCTGTAAGGGTTACTGAGCCAGCCAGCTACAAGCAGTTCTGCTCTTCTGTAACCCTTTATGTCTTTGGTAGTGAAAGGGCTAACAGAATGTACAATATGTATGTAAAGTGCTGCATAAATTGACGGCACTATATAAGTACCTGTAATAAATAAATAATAATGAGATGCCTCATTTTTTTTATAATTGCCATGAGGTGAGAGAAATATTAGCTCTAAATCAATGCAGTGTGACAACTGATTATGTTCCATGTCTATAATAAAACCACTGCAAAATTATGACTGTAAAATCCAAAACATACTCTCGCTGTCAGTTCTGTTATTATGTGAAGTCTTCTTTGGTTAGTTCCTTTTTTTGTTTTTGATTTCTTTGATGTCCAGAACAAATGTTATTACAAAAGTGGTATAAATGTACTTCTAAGGAAAACCAAGGGAACTGTGTGGTAAAGAATAAATAGTTATACCCAGGTTTAAAACAATCTGACCTTCTTTACAGGGGAGTTGGCTGTATTTTGTATGAAATGGCCACTGGACGGCCAATGTTTCCTGGCTCTACAGTGAAGGAAGAGCTGCATTTAATCTTTAGACTTCTTGGTAAGTCAAAAGTTTTTTTTTAGTATGTAATATATATATTGTTAGCATGCTGTTTATACAGACACAGGTGCAAAAGAAACATTCTCTCCTATTATACTGTGATTAGTACTGTAGTTCTGTTATTAGGTGGATATTTTATGTGTAGTATATTGTTCTTTCTTGTGGAACTACAATGGTTATGATGTCATTCCTGTCTCTGTGTGTTCTTGTTTTTAATAAAAAAAGAGGGCTCAACCGTATGTCTAACACCATCTTGACAGGTGAGAGTCATATCTGCAGCAGCATTCTGACAGGTTATGGGCCCAGCCTCAGCTAAAGTACTAAATACTGCTACAGATATAGTTTTTAGACTCTGCTCACCTATAGGCGTTCTGAATTGCGGGTAGAATTGCTGAGATTCTGCCTGTGATTTCAAAATGTGCTGTTAAAAATGTCAAATCGCACATCAGCGAGTTCAGGTGCCATTAATTTCAATGTCGCCTAAAAACACAGGGCGATGCTGCCGCAATTGTCACACGACAAAACTCGTAATCACGCAAACCAAATTGCGCAATGTGTGTCACCAAAAGTTCTGGAACTTTTGGGTGTTACACATTGCTCAGTTTGGTTTGCTTAATTGCAGTGCATTTTTGTTGCACAACAATATCACCCCGCATTTTTAGGTGCCATTAAAATGAATGGTACCTGAACATGCTGATGTGTAATTTGACATTTTTACAGTGCGTTTTGAAATCGCGGGAAAAATCGTGCCTATTCTGCCGGCGGTCCAAAACACCTATATGTGAACAGAGCCTTAGAGGTACAGCAAAACAGTTTCTGGCAAGTTTGATGGCAGTGTTTCAGTAAATTTCTCAGTTGCCAATCTGACAAACCAGAACTACCAGTGAAAATGCCCAAGCCAAGCAGATTTACAGGTGAGTGGACAAAGGAAGCTCAAAACGTTTTCTCTGTCCACTCCACTATATGACTAAGCAAAAATGATTATTAAATTGTGCACAAATGTGAAACCACAAAAGAGTTGTGGGATGAGCTACAGAAAGTACACTAGGGAGAAAACACTATACCAGACCAAGCTAATGAAAGTTAGGCACATGCAGGTCTATATCAAAGGTGCTCTAGAAATGGTGGAATACCTGCAAGCTATAGAACAGTGGTCTCCAAACTGCGGTCCTTTGGTTGCCTTTATCTGGACCTTGGGGAACTATTTCTCGAGACACTATTCTGCTAACTGTCTCCAACAATAGGGGCACTATTCCTCCCACTGACACCAATGATGGGGCACCATTCCACCCACTGACACCAATGATGGGACATTATTCTTCCCACTGACACAAACAATGGGGGTAGTATTCATCCCACTGACACCAATGATGTGGCACTATTCTTCCCACTGACACCAATGATGGGACACTATTCCTCCCACTGACACCAATGATGGGACACTATTCCTTCCACTGACACCAATGATGGGACACTATTCCTCTCACTGACACCAATGATGGGGTACTATTTCTCTAACTGACACCAATGATGGCTCACTATTCTTCCCACTGACACCAATGATGGGGCACTATTCCTCTCACTGACACCAATGATGGGGCACTATTCCTCCCACTGACACCAATGATGGGGCGCTATTTCTCCCCCTGACGTCAACAATGGTGTACTATTCCTCTCACTGACACCAATGATGGAACACTATTACTAATCCAAAAAGTGGCAATGTTTACTTCCACTGAAAGAAAATTTCCACTCCTGCTGACCACAGTCCGTCCCCCTAAAATCTGAAGGACAGCAAACTGGCCCCTTGTTTAGAAAGTTTGGAGACCCCGGCTATAGAAGAAGAAATTAAATACTTCCATATAGCAGCACTGCTACTCAGTGGTCTCTCAGGCAGTGATGAGACACTTGTTATTGCACCTGATGCTTAGTCAGATGATGACGTTACCATGGAATAAGTCAAAGATATATACACTGCTCAAAATAATTAATAAGGAACACTTGTTAATCAGAGTATATCATCACGTCAATTAAACTCCTGGGATATTGATCTGGTCAGTTAAGTAGCAGAGGTGGTTGTTAATCAGTTTCAACTGCTTAGGTGTGAAATTAACAACAGGTGCACTAGATGGGTAACAATGAGACAACCCCCAAAACAGGAATGGTTTTACAAAACAGACTTTATGAGGGTGGCCTGAGGGCCCGGCGTCCTCTAATGCGCCCTGTGCTCTCTGCCTGGGATCATAGAGCTCGATTGGCATTTTCCATTGAACACCAGAATTGGCAAGTTCACCACTGTCACTCTGTGCTTTTCACAGTAGGTTCACCTTGAGAACATGTGACAGATGTGAAAGGGTCTGGAGAAGACGTGGAGAACGTTATGCTGCCTGAAACATCATTCAGCATGACCGTTTTGGAGGTGGGTCAGTGGTGGTCTGGGGAAGCATATCCATGGAGGGACGCACAGACCTCTACAGGCTAGACAATGGCACCCTGACTGCCATTTAGTGATGAAGGAATTGATACCATTGAATGGCCCCCACGCTCGCCTGACCTAAATCCAATAGAACACCTCTGGGATATCATGTTTCGGTCCATCCAACACCGCCAGGTTGCACCTCAGACTGTCCAGGAGGTCAGTGATGCCCTGGTCCAGATCTGGGAGGAAATACCCCAGGACACCATTTGTCATCTCATTAGGAGCCTCCCCCGACATTGTCAGGCATGCATACAAGCACATGGGGGTCATACAAACTACTGAGTACCATTTTGAGTTGCTGCAATGAAATTTCAGCAATATGGACTAGCCTGCTGCATCATTTTTTCACTTTGGTTTTCGGGGGTGTCTTTGCTTATTTTCATTTCCACCAAACGATGGGACATCCTTCTGTTCCTAACACATTACCCAGTCCTTATCAGTATAGATATCCAGCATGATATTTTTCTCCATTGAGATCTGATGTGTGTTTTTCAAAAGTTCCTTTTTTTTTTTGAGCAATGTATAACTGAAAAGCCGAAAGTGCAAACCATGACACATTTTTCTAGGGCCTCCTAGTGGGCCTCCTAGACAGGCCCCTTAAATACAAAGGACATAATCTAGAAATGTAGACTGAATCAGCAAAAAAGACAAGTTAAATAACAAAAGGCCAAATGCCTTAACCACTTGCTGCCCAGGGCAATTTTGAAATTTTTCATATACATGTTAAAGTCAGCATTTTTTGCTAGAAATGTATATAGAACATCCAAACATTATATATTTTCTGAAAGCAAGGGCTCTGGAAAATAAAATGGTGGTTGTTGCAATTTTTCATGTTGCACAATATTTATGCAGCCATTTATCAAAATGAATTTTAATGCACACAAACACAATATAATACCCAATTATTTGTGAAAATAAGAAAGATGATGTTGCATTGAGTAAACAAACATCTCAAGTTTTAAAATTGCTCATGTGTGAAATGGTAACAAAGACGATGCTTTAGTAGCCTTTATAGGTTACCAGTTTAGAGTTAAAGTGGTGGTAAACCTCAAATTATGAAAAATGACCAAAGCACATCCCTCAATAGTGTGTACTAGCCTTAAACCAAAGCACTGCATCTGTTTCCTCTCTGATATTGCTCCCTGTGCTCTTTTCTATCTGCATGACTCACTCCTAATAGACTAAGCCAACACCTCTGCCTCTTGTTAGATGGTTAGCCCCATGCCAGCTCACAACAGAAATCTCATACCCTCAGTACTAATGTTCTCTGAGCCAGTGTAGAGGGTAGAGGGCATTTCTTCCCACCAGTTAGTTATCAGGTTTCATAGAGGTGTGTGCTAGAGGCTGTTAGGTAAACTCAGTTTGCAGCACTCTGTTAAGCAGAATGCCAGTCTATTAATCAGGACTGCTCATGATGGTCTGGTGCCGTTTGAGTTTGTCTTGAGCTCCACCTGCCTTCTGGAAGCTATGAGAGCCTTCCAGAACATAGGTAGGAGCTAGTCACCTCACTGGATATACAGTAAGGTCCATATATATATTTGGACGGGCACAATTTTAGTTTTTTTTCAGGTATTTATCAAAACATATTCAAGCTATAGTTATACTGTATAATGGATATGGGCTGAAAGTGCACACACTCAGGTTTAATTTGAGGGTATGTACATACAAATTGGAGGAAGGGTTTAGGAATTACAGCTCTTAAGAGTTGCCATCCCCTCTTTTTTAAGGGACCAAAAGTAATTGGACAGTCGAATCAAAGCTGTTTTATGGCCAAGTGCAGGCTACTCCTTCATTATTTCTTCATCAATTAACCAGGTAAAAGGTCTGGAGTTGATTCTAAGTGTGGTGTTTACATTTGGAATCTATTGCTGTGAACCTACATCATGCGTTCAAAGGAGCTGTTCATGCAAGTGAAAAAGGCCATTGTATGGCTTCAAAAACAAAACAAATCCATCAGAGAGATAGCAGCAACATTAGGAGTGGCCAAATCAACAGTTTGGTACATTCTGAGGAAAGAAGAATACACTGGTGAGCTCAGCAACATAAAAAGGCATGGACGTCCACAGAAGACAACAGTGGTGGTTGATCCCAGGATCCTCTCTATGGTAAAGAAAAAACTCATTCACAACATCCACACAAGTGAAAGACACTCTCCAGGAGGTGGGCGTATCATTGTCAAAATGTACAGTCAAGGGAAGACTTCACAAGAGCAAATACAGAGGGTTCACCAAAAGGTGAAAATCATTCATAAGCATGAAGAATAGAAAAGCCAGCTTTTGCCAAAAAACAGCTAAAAAAGCCAGACCAGTTCTTTGGGCAGATGAAACTAAGATTAATCTCTACCAGAATGACGGGAAGAGAAAATTTTGGAGAAGGCTTGGAACAGCTCATGATCCAAAGCACACAACGTCATCTGTAAAACATGGTGGAGGCAGTGTGATGGCACGGGCATCCATGGCTTCCAGTGGCACTGGGTCATTGCAGCAACGTTGATTGGACGGCACTTCACAGTAGAGATGGA